TGATTGGTAATATCAGAAGATATGAAATGAGTAAAATTGAGAGTTCGCGTAGCGACGCGCGCGGCATTATGGAACTTCACGTTAATGAAATGAGCCATTTATGACTACCATGTGGTCGTTGAATGTGTGAGTGCTTAGGTCGAGGTTCGAATGATCTGGTGTGGGTTTTCCAGCCTTAGCGCGTATCCGCGTATTCGAAGATTTTCCACTCGTACCGATTAACTCGATTCAATCAGAACCGCGAAGCGAATGCGGCTTGTGAAAGCAGGAAGCTAATAATTATGGTAGGAGTAAATAGTAGCAAATTTTTCCACCATGCCATTTTACGCCGTCGGTCTGTGCATAATCACTCTTCTCGTCTCATCAAGCGACGACTGCTACACAAGTGGTGGTTCGTCAATGAAGAACAGCACTTGGCCGTGCTTTCTTTCAGCTAATGAACCGCTGTCTGGGCTACATGTGGTGTGTCAGGTGTAAGAGGCGAGACGAGAGGAGGCGAGGCGAGGCGAGGCGAGGGGTAACATTGGCTCTGAGTTAGTCGGTCATAATCCTTTCGCGCCGTATCGCCAAGCAGCAGCTTCGAACTCGCTTCGACGATTCTCGGTCGTCGCTGTCATCCTCTGCCTCTGCCCTTTCGCTATCCCCTTGCCGCGCGTCGTCGATTTCCACGATGTTCGTTTGGATCAACATATCGACGTCTGTTCGGCCATATTTTGGCTAATCCTTCTTATCTCGGCGCTGGCGCTTCTGGTCGCCACCCTTACTCGTCTGACTCGTATTAACGCGGCGATCCTTTCGCGACCTCTGTCGCGGCCAGCCTCACGCGAACTCGTTTTGATCGTCACTCAGTGCTTCCTCCTCTTCGCGTGCGCCGCGCCAGCATTTGCTGTCGCGACGCGTCTTTGCCCTCGTTTTGGTCGTGGCTCCGGTCGCGATTACGGGGGTCAGTGGCGGCAGTCACAATGGCGACGGATCGCGCCGGAACCGTAGTCACAATTTCATTCTGTCAAACGATATGTCACTGGTTGGCTGGCCGGCAGCAGGTCACGAGGTTGCGTCAACTCCGGCTGCAATCGATGAGGTTAATGAATTTTCGCCGTCGCTGTCTTCCGACAGAATAGTTGGTCCTCAAACATGAGGTAAACACTCGTTTACAAACGGACTGGCAAATACGTTTATCATCCGACAGCCGGCTGGACACTGCGACCGCCGCCGCGTCGACTGTGACAACGAACGACCGCGTTATGACTACGACCGTCATCATCTTCCTCGGTACGCACAATGTCACTTGGCACTTGGCACGTGCGGCCCCTGCCAATGCCCAATGACCATGGAAACTATAAATAACGGATGATGCGCTCCACGACGGACAGCTCGTAGTTCGCCACGGGTCGTACCGGACAACGTCGTCTACGGCAGCGACAGTGACAGTGACAGCGACGGAGGGTGAGGGCGCCGCGAGCCTCGCGATGCGGGTTGAAAGCCGCCGCCGTCGCTGGCCCCCTTGCTCGCAGTCGAGGTACTCCGTTTACA